ATAGAATGTACTGGTGACAGTTGTAGAACAGTAGTACAATGTGTTCAGCTCTGAGGGGAGAGGAGCAGGCTGAGTCTCAGGTCCGGTGACAACATACATTGTACCTCGATGTATTCATTGTGTCAGTGTCAGTCCCGCGCTCAGCACTCTCTTCTCTGGAATGTGAGGGGAGAGGAGCAGGCTGAGTCTCTCAGTGAGGTATAGTAACAAAGTATTCGGGTTGTAGGGTGACACAATGTATTGGTAATATAGTTGTACAGTGTATTAGTGTGTATCGGAGATATATATACATTGTAATTATGTTCAGTGCCGCGCTCAGCACTCTCCACTCTCTGCTCTGGAATGTGAGGGGAGAGGAGCAGGCTGAGTCTCAGGTCCGGTGACAATATACATTGTATCAGTGTGCAGTGTCTCCGGGATGTGTATACATTGTATCAGCGCCTCAGTGATATATTATATATATCTATATATATACATTGTATCAGTGTCTCCCAGTGGTGTGTGTATATACATTGTATCAGTGTCTCCCAGTGGTGTGTGTATATACATTGTATCAGTGTCTCTCGGTGGTGTGTGTATATACATTGTGTCAGTGTTCAGTCCCGGGCGCTCTGCACTCTCTGCTCTGGAATGTGAGGGGAGAGGAGCAGGTTGAGTAGCGATGATTGTCCCCGCCCCCCCCGCCTCCAGCCATTGGTCCGCTGTGTGAGGGGTTGCTCCGGATTGGCCGCTCCCCCGTGGCTCGGTGCAGCTCGCTGTGTCTGTCCGCTCAGTGCGATGAGAAGCAGTGGTCGGAGCGGAGGGGGTCCTGGCAGTGCCCGGCTCTATGGAGGCAGCTGAGGATGGTGTGCACCAGGAAAACCAAACCGCTGGTGTCCACCTGTGTCATCCTGAGCGGGATGAGTAACATCCTGTGCCTGCTCTATGTGGGCTGGGTGACCAACTACATGGCCGGCCTCTATGTGGCCCCTGACAGCACCAAACTGGAGCCCGAGGATAAGGGGGACACCCTGAGGATTATAGAGAGGCTGGAGCGACTGGAGAGTGTCATCAACCAGCACATCCAAGGTAAGACAGTCTCTATTACTTGCTGTATACCTGTCTATGACATTGTATACCTGCGTATTACACTGTGTACTTATTTATAACACTGTATACCTACCTATTACACTGCCTACCTGTCCATTACACTGCCTACCTGTCCCTTACACTGCCTACCTGTCCCTTACACTGCCTTCCTGCCTATAACACTGCATTCCTGTCCATTACACTGCCTACCTGTCCCTTACACTGCCTTCCTACGCCTATAACACTGCATTCCTGCCTATTACAGTGCCTACCTGCCTATTACAGTGCCTACCTGCCTATTCCACTATACCATTATAGAGGTTGTGGTGAATGTCACACATATAATCCGTATTACTCTATTGCCCTGTATACCTGTATATTACACCATAGGGGGGGTCAGATTGTCTCCTCAACACACATATAAAAGGCACAGAGGCTGTTACATCTATAATACTGGATCCCCCTGGGGACACCCGGCACATACAGGGTCAGTAACCTCTATATTACACTGTTTGTCTTTGTACACCTATTACCGGGGTTCTAGCTGAAGAGCCGAGTACATACGAAGTACCCTATACCTGTATATAACACCTGCCTGAGTATAGCTCTGTATTACACTGACCGCATCCTAGAGAGCATCCTTGTAAATTGTCCTACCTGTGTATTACATAGTGTGAACCTAAAATGTGCCCACCTGTGCAATATACTTATCTGTATATAACTGTGCAGGTTGTATATACCCGTACCTGTGTATTACATTGTGAGAGTGTCATTAATGAGCACATACTAGGTACTTTACCTGTCTATTACACCTCATCTGTCACCTGCCGGTGTACTGCTGTCCGCCTCTCTGTACATCTGTGGTCACCACACTTACTACTGCACGGTGCAGCAAGGATGTGCAAAGTGCAGTAACCCATAGCAACCATTGAGAATTGCAGTTGCTATGGATACCCGGTACCATAGCTGCATTGTCAGGCTGGCTGATAAAAGACACATTAATGTCAATTAGAGGAGAAAATACACCAAAGAAACGTTTTCTGGTCGTTGTGGAATGATGAGATGATAACACTTCTTCACGATGGAGCATTATAATAATATATGTGTGTAAAGTGTCATTTATTATTATTATTATTATTATTACTATTATTATTACTATTATTATTTTTATTAGTTTTCTTTGGAGTTGATTATTTTGTCATTTTCATCAGCAACAGACAAATGGTTGTTATAGACAGGTATGGACTGGGAAGCGAGTGATCATATTGGGTTTGGGCAGCATTATACCTCCTGACCTGTGTATATGAATTAGCTTGTATGGTGAACCTGTACTACCGACTCAGTACTGCACCGTATACCTCAGTATTGCACCGTATACCTCAGTATTGCACCGTATACCTCTGTACTGCACCGTTTACCTCTGTACTGCACCGTTTACCTCTGTACTGCACCGTATACGTCTGTACTGGACCGTATACGTCTGTACTGGACCGTATACGTCTGTACTGGACCGTATACGTCTGTACTGGACCGTATACGTCTGTACTGGACCGTATACGTCTGTACTGGACCGCATACCTCTGTACTGGACCGTATACGTCTGTACTGGACCGTATACGTCTGTACTGGACCGCATACCTCTGTACTGGACCGTATACGTCTGTACTGGACCGTATACGTCTGTACTGGACCGTATACGTCTGTACTGGACCGTATACGTCTGTACTGGACCGTATACGTCTGTACTGGAAGTACTGGACCGTATGTCTCCTGTACTGCACCGTATGCCTCCTGTACCGCACCGTATGCCTCTGTCCTGGAGATCAGCCTATAGAACCGTCCTTACTTTGTGCTGTAGAATGTCACCAAATCTAACCCACCCACATGGCCGTGTATACCACTCGGAACCGATTTTTAAGATGCTGGCACACTGAGTCACACACCCGGCTTCTTGTCTCTCAGGAGCCCCGGCACTGGCACCGATATGTCTGCCCACCTACATCTGTCATCGCGAAATTCTTCAGCTGGATTTTTATGCTTTTCATTATTTTTATTAAATCTGTTGTTTTAGCTTAATAGTAGAGCGCTGCAGTAGGAGGAATGAGACCAAGGCAGGGGGAGTGGACTCTAGCAGGGTTATTCACTAAAGGATGAAGAGTTTGGAGAAGGCAGGAGAAGTGAACAATCGAGGACAACATCGCTGAACTGGAAAGTGAGCTCATACAATCCACTTTCTACGTACAATCTATCCATCAATCTGCTACAAGATGATTTGTGTCGTCTTTTGTGGTTCCTGTGTCAGGTTTCGTTCTGTGTCAGAAATGACCTGAGCGGAATAATCCGCAGATTGGGATTCCCCTAGTGCATCCTTTCTCAACCTTTTCAACATGGAGGAACCCTTGAAATACCTCTCGGGTCTCAGGAAACCCCTGACCATAGTTATATCTACAACTGATGTTCCCATGTACGGTACACTGAGATATAAAAATAAAAGAACACGGAATGTGGAGTGCGTGACATTGGTGGTCAGTGGGAAGAATGTCCCTTACATTGGTGGCCAGTGAGAAAAACTCCCCTTACATTGGGGGTCAGGGGACAGAATGGACCTTTCATGCCCCAGTATTGGCAATATATCGGGTATGGTGACCACTGAGTCCCAGTGATAGCACTCCTATGGGGTATGGAGATCACTGAGCTCCAGTGTTGGCGGTATATGGGGTATGGAGATGACTGAGCCCCAGTGTTGGAATTAGATGGGGTATGCAGATCACTGAGCCCCAGTGTTGGCAGTAGTTGGGGTATGGAGATGACTGAGCCCCAGTGTTGGCAGTATATGGGGTATGGAGACGACTGAGCCCCAGCGTTGGCAGTAGATGGGTTATGGAGACCACTGAACCCCAGTGTTGGCAGTAGATGGGGTATGGAGACCACTGAGCCCCAGTGTTGGCAGTATATGGGGTATGGAGACCACTGAGCCCCAGTTTTGGCAGTAGATGGGGTTATGGAGATGACTGAGCCCCAGTGTTGGCGGTATATGGGGTAAGGAGATCACTGAGCCCCAGTGTTGGCAGTATATGGGGTATGGAGACCACTGAGCCCCAGTTTTGGCAGTAGATGGTGTAAGGAGATGACTGAGCCCCAGTGTTAGAATTAGATGGGGTATGGAGATGACTGAGCCCCAGTGTTGGCAGTAGATGGGGTATGGAGACCACTGAGCCCCAGTGTTGGCAGTATATGGGGTATGGAGATGACTGATCCCCAGTGTTGGCAGTAGATGGGGTATGGAGATGACTGATCCCCAGTGTTGGCAGTATAAGGGGTATGGAGACCACTGAGCCCCAGTTTTGGCAGTAGATGGGGTATGGAGATGACTGAGCCCCAGTGTTGGCGGTATATGGGGTAAGGAGATCACTGAGCCCCAGTGTTGGCAGTATATGGGGTATGGAGACAACTGAGCCCCAGTGTTGGCAGTATATGGGGTATGGAGATGACTGATCCCCAGTGTTGGCAGTAGATGGGGTATGGAGACCACTGAGCCCCAGTGTTGGCAGTATATGGGGTTTGGAGATCACTGAGCCCCAGTGTTGGCAGTATATGGGGTATGGAGATGACTGATCCCCAGTGTTGGCAGTAGATGGGGTATGGAGACTACTGAGCCCCAGTGTTGGCAGTAGATGGGGTATGGAGATGACTGAACCCCAGTGTTGGCGGTATATGGGGTAAGGAGATCACTGAGCCCCAGTGTTGGCAGTATAAGGGGTATGGAGATCACTGAGCCCCAGTGTTGGCAGTAGATGGGGTATGGAGACCACTGAGCCCCAGTGTTGGCAGTATATGGGGTTTGGAGATCACTGAGCCCCAGTGTTGGCAGTATATGGAGTATGGAGACCAATGAGCCCCAGTGTTGGCAGTATATGGGGTATGGAGACAACTGAGCCCCAGTGTTGGCAGTAGATGGGGTATGGAGACCACTGAGCCCCAGTGTTGGCAGTAGATGGGGTATGGAGACCACTGAGCCCCAGTGTTGGCAGTAGATGGGGTATGCCTAGGGGCATACGGAAGCTTTCGAGGCCATAAACGACAGGGTAGTTACTTAGGGCGGGCATATTTACAGTGCACTGCAGCTCTGAATGTGTCATGTTCAGCCCTCGATAATCGCCCTGGTAACCCTCTTATATTATATACAGCAGATTGTTGGTGTCTAATCCTCCCAGCAACTGGTGGCAGCTGGGTCAGTTATTCCTGGATCCCGGCAGTCTGATCACAAGCCTTCCCTCCGGCCGGGGCTCTCTGCCTGTAGCATTGAAGTCCAATATCAAAGCTGAACTCCGGCCACAAAACCCTTCATAAACCCTTCATACAGATATTACCTGGTGAAAGTTGCTGCGGCATCATCGCTGTGCTGTAGGTAGCCTGTGCAGAGAGCAGGGTGCATTGTTGATGACGCATGGTACTGCTGAGTGACTTGGCCAGCAGATATTATCTGGTATGCTGAAGGTGGGGTCTTCCAGACCCGCCATGTTTAATAAATGAATCACCGCGGACAACATTTGGGAGTATCTGATACCTGTGTTTACATTTTAGGCATTAGAAGCTGCAGCAAGTCAGATAGAGCCCGTCTCATTTCCTGGAGGACGTCCAGCATCATCTAGTTTTTTCCCTCCCCAGTCAGACTGTTCCAGGCCCCCCCTTTCATTCATTGGATTTCGGTTCCTTTAAAAATAGAGGTTCAGCATCGCATATGGGAACTACCTAGGGGTGATGTGCCCTAGGTCAATGGGGAATGCCCACTCCTCCAGACTGACACCCACCCATCAAGGCATTTTGATATTTGTATAGCTCTTCCCATGAGCCGGCCCACTGTTTGCATCAGGGCTCAGGTCTCTTGAGCGGAGAACTGAAGCACTGAGGCAGGGTGCTGTGATGTCTTCGGTAAACTATGTACAGCCCCCCGCATAGAGAAGCACAGAGACCCAGAAATCACATCACTGGGTATAAAG